GCGGAAATAGAACAAATTAAATTTTTACAGTCTCTGGAGCGCGTATCAGAACTTTCAGTATGTATATAAAAAGTACTCTGTGATCAGAACATTTGCTACTAGCACGCCTAGTGAGCGCGTTTTTTCTATAGTGGGACTAACTGTGACTGCTAAAAGATCTAGACTAAGCCCAGTACACGTTAATAAAATTATTTTTATTCATGATAATTATACATTATGCAAAAAACACAATTTTAATTTCCTATAGTTTGTGCAAGAAACAAAAAAATGTGCTTTTTCGTTTTTGCACAAATTATAGACATAGACATAGACATAGACATAGACATGCATTTATTCAGCAACATACACTCATACAGTTTTGATACAGAAAAGAAAATAAAACATAAACACTATTAATTAAGGTATAATTAATTAGAACTTGTTTGGTTTGTTTTTATTTTGAGAAATTAAATTTGAATTCCTATCCATGTCTATGTTTCACTTGTTACTACCTTATTTTAAATAAATGTTTATAAAAATTAAAATAAAATACGGCCGCGCCGGCGCGGCGTCGCCACGCCGACCACAATGGGTCGGCGCGCCGCCGCCGCCGAATTCTTGCTCGGCGCGCATGTCTAGTGCGAACAGACTTTCTCGACCATGAAATTGCGGAAAAACTCAATCAGAAACCGACTTACTGATGAACAACTTTACGAACTGCATTTGAAAATATTATGACAAATCAAAAGCAGTTTCATATGTCTCACACGCCTACCACGGCAGGGCCTTCGAATAAAAGTTAAATTGTAATTTTTAACACTTGTGCAAGCGTGTAATGCTGTAATATTTTTATATGATTAAAAGTTTCAACACAAAATGCATTTTTCCTATAATTCTGGCCCTCCTATGAAATTTTTTAAACTTTCTAGCCCACCATTAAGAAAGTTTGCACACCACTGACCTAGACCGTAGATCACTTTTTTTTATAGGATAAGGGTGACAAACGAGCACACAGTCCACCTGATGGTAAGTGGTTGCTGCGGCCCATAGACATCTACATCTATCTTCGATTACGAATCAAAATGCAGATGCGTTGTCACCCGTGAGGACTAAGATGGAATGCCTCATTTCCAGTAAAATGGGTCTCCAGTTCTCTACACTCACCATACGAAACACAGCAGCGTTAAACTGCAATTTTACGCTGGTATTCTGTGAGAGCGTGGTCCTTCCCCGGTCGAGCCGACCCATTCATGCTACAATCATAATATATCTGCAGCCAGCATGGCTCTACCACTTCTGGCAGTGCTCTGTAGTTGTTCGTGAAATTTCATTACAATCAGTTCAGCCGAAGATTAGCCAGAACAGACAGACAGAAATTTTAAATATGTGTATTATTTATACAAATCATACTATTTTATACTGAGTAATAAACATCTGTAATATGAAATAATTTGACGTAATATGTTAGTTAAGTCAAACTAATAACATACTCGCATATCAACAAACATCAGAAGCGATAAGATAAATATAATGGAGTAACAACCCAACAACATTGTATGTTGGTTATTATGTTATGCATTCAGTTTAAAAATAGATGGATAATAATGAGAATAATGGCCGTTAATTAAAAAATAATAACGGATTAGTAGGGTTGTAAAAATTAGTCGCATAAAGAAAAGAAAATAGTATATTAACTTTGGCATCTCAGGTACGAAAATTTGATGTATGTACACAAAAAATTGTTCTATTAAAACAATGATGCACTATGTTAATACAAGGAACAAGCACAAGTTAGTAATAAGTTCCAATAAAAATATTTAGTCTACTCCTGGAGTCAGTAATTCCTTCATGGGACAAAGTATACACTTTTATAAGTGTCCCAGAAAATTGCAGGATGTATCAAAAAATTTAAAGTTTTTATTAAGCAAAATTTATTTAATAAGGGTTATTATATAGTGGACCCCTGGTAATCCGGCACCAGGTTAATACCCCCCCCCCCCTCGCCTCATAATTCAACATGTCTAACATGTAAGTCAAATATGTTTTATAGGTCCAGATACCATGTACGTGCGCCTAAAACGCTTCCATTTCAAAGGCACCAATACTGGTGTATTCGTTCGATCCTTCCGCCATTGCGCCAGCGACGTTCACTGGGAACATATGTCACGCACCGGTGTTTTTAATTTCGCAAAATGACTGTTTTTGCTGTGAAATCATGTAAAAGTTACTCTTGAAAAAAAGATTCTTGAAAAAAAGATAAGGGTAGAGTAACAACATCACTTTTCATAAGTGGTAGAGCCACGTGGCGGCTTTTGCTGTCGCACGGATGGGCCAGCTCGAACCGGGGTGGTACCACGACCTCACAGAATACCAGCGTGAAGTAGAGGTTTACCTCTGTGTTTCGCTTGGTGAGTGCAGGTGGCCGGAGGCCCTTTTTACTGGAAATGAGGCATTCCATCTTAGTCCTCACGGGTGACAACGCATCTGCATTTTGATTTGTAATAGAGGATAGATGTAGATGTCTATGGGCCGCAGCAACCACTCACCATCAGGTGGACTGTGAGCTCGTTTGTCACACTTATCCTATAAAAAAAAAGTAACTATACAATTTTCTAGTGTATTTCTTTGTAATAGAATACGAAAGCTAAATGTTAATACAAGTAATAATACTGCGCAATAATATTCGCGTGTTGCCTAGTCTATGAAATGTTTTTACCATTTTTTAATGTCATGACCAACCGGAAAGATATCTAGATTATCAAACTTACCTTTTTTCGTCATTTTACTTAGGATTGAAAAATAATTAATGTTTTCGTAAAAAGCGGCAATATTTTGTGTACTACGGTACAAAAGTGTAGTACTCTGTATATATTTAATAATAATAGATTATAAATATATGTTACGTACATAAATATCTACTGTGCTTTTTTATTTATTTTTAACTGTTACATTAATTATAGGTTTTATTACATATCTCCAATATTTTAGTGCGATGTTCGTACCTACATAAAACACACAACCAACCATATCCCCATACACACACGCACACAAATGCACACGCCTCGCACACACATTTTATACTCGTAGAATCAATAGGTACGTCAATATGAATGAAATATAAAATCTCCCATATTTTTTGGGTAATCGATTCGCACTGTTATTACCGAAGTCACGCACATTAATGCAGCCATGGTATATGGTGATATGCGCGTCACGTGGTACTCACGCACACATAAATCAAAGACTGGCGTCACTATGAACGGTGCGGTGTGTTAGCAATACGGTATATGGACCTATAAAACATCTTTGATGTAAGTACAATCGAGTCGCGTGATGAGTCCGCCAGGTGGAAGTGATCATCGCGAATACGTGGAAAGTTAAAGTTATCAAAATTATTCGTAACATTCGTACATAGTTTCTTGAAAAAAAAATACACATTTGTAATAAAATAAAACATGACACACTTTTATAACAATGTGCCCCAGAAAATATGCAGGATGTATCAGAAAGTTTATAAATACAGTGGACCTCTGGTAATCCGGCACCTGGCTAATCTCCCCCCCCCCCCCCCCCCAATATAATTCAACATGTCTTTAACATGTAAGTACAATCGAGTCGCGTTATGACTCCGCCAGGTGGAAATGTCATTTGCGTATAGGTGGAAAGTTAAAGTAATCAAATATAATAGCGACGATAAAAGAAACAGCAGTGACATTATCAAAATTATCCATAACATTCGCACATAGTTTTTTGATATACATCTTTAAAATACACATCTGTAATAAAATAAAACTGTTTTTAGTTGGTTACTAATAACAATGTTTACCAAAAGATTATTAATTAGATTTGTTTTCAAAACAAAATCTCTACCCATCTCTCAATCTTCTCTCTCCTAACCAGTTGTTCCTTCTCGCTCGTGTTTATTTTTTTAAACCAATCTCAACACATTTCCGGAGTCAGCTACCAACCTAAAAAAATTAAACTACTTGACTACACACTAGTATTTCTACTACTGCAGTCTATTCTTATAAGTAAATTATTATACATTAATATATAAAAGGATATTTAAAATAATATGATAAATTTAAAAATCGTGACATATCCATAAAAACAGAAACAGAAACTTTTTATTCAAAACAGATTATAAATACATAATACTTATTGATAGTTGCTCATATGTTTGATTTACCACTGGTTCGGAAAATACCTCTATCCTGGGAAGAACCAGGGAGAAACCCATCGGGACATAACATATATTATTGTAAACTGTTATTTTTTTTAAACAATTAACAACACAAAACAAATTAGGAAATAGCTTTGCCGCGATCACCACATTCCAAGAGGTTACCGTCATCCATAAACTTCTTAATATTAAAATAACCCTTTTTACACAAAATTTGTTTAATAAAGATTTTGTACTTTGAGGAGGTCGGATTTTATATATTAGGTTGTTTGAAGTTAATTGTAGGCATCCATTGATATACTGTCACTGGTAGCATATTCACCCTTAAATGCTAAACACAAATATCACGCGCTAATAATGCGTTACAATATTACTAGTGCGTCTGAATCGGTTCTGCGTTCAGTGACTCGCTTCTCTAGCGTGCTGAATATCATCAGATCTTTCAAGATTTGTTTTTAAAGAAGTAGGGCTGACAAAACGAGCTTACAGTCCATTTGTTAGGATTTCACCTTCAAAGACCAAGATACTTTGTCTCACATATGAGGACCTAGATGTTTTATCATCTCTGAGGACTAAAATAGAATGCCTCCTTACCACTTAAAAGAGTCTCCGGTTCTCGTCACTCACCATTCGAAACATAGCAGCAATGTGCTGCTGCAATATTACGTTGGTACTCTGTGCGAGCGTGGAGCTCCCCATTTGTGCTAGAGAGAAAGAGAAAGAAACAATGATAGAGAGAGAGAGCGATAGATAGAAAGAGATAGAGAGATAATATTTTTTCTGGCAAAGTTACTAAATTTTATTTATACGTATTAAAGAATACTTTCTTTTGTTTCAGTCAACAAACAAATCAATGACAAAGAGCGGATTGCAGCCGCAATGGAGAACCCCAATTTAAGGAACCTCGTCGAGAATTGTATCGCCGAAGAGGAATAGACAGTACAGCATCGATAGATAGCATATTACATATATAGGCATAAAATCCCTTTCGGATCCTTAAATATAATAATGGCTCCAGACGCGGCCTTTTCAAATATAAGCGATAAAAACGAGTTTACAAAATTCACTAAATTTCTCGCCTATAAAGGTGTACAAGTAATCGTAGAATCCCGGAAAGGTGTTAAAATAGAGGCGAATAGCAAACCCCGTACATCAGATTCCGATTGGTTCAACCTACAGATACCGGATTCGCCTGAAGTCAATCAAGCTACGAAGAATGCTTTGCCGTCGGATAAAATTTTGGAAACGATCAGGTCACAGCTTCACGTCGAGATATCCGTGCAAACGGAGGACGGAGACGAAATGGTATTGGAGCTTTGGACTTTGGAGCTCGACGAGACTCAGTTTGACACATCTTTAAAAGCTATGAATACGGTGTATTTTAGAATGGGAATACTCCTGAAGTCAGTTATCACAATAAGCAGGATAACACCAGCATATCATTTATCAAGAAAACAACGTACGGAATCCTTTACTATATTTTACAGAGTCTACAATGGAGAACCCAAACTTAAAGCTTTGGGTGATTCCGTTAAGAAAATCCAAGCAGGAATGCTGAAGACACCTTTAGGTGGACTTTGTTTCACCGTGTCATATCGCACCAATTTTTCCATATCACCAAACAGATCCGACAAAAGCAAGACGCTCCTTTTGAAGAGCGACCATTTCGAATTAAGTCCGAAACATGTTATTTTTGAATCCAAAAAGAATAAAAACATAAAAGATAAAGAAGTTAAACCAAACAGGCCAGTTGACTTGGATAAGCCTTTGCGTTTGGCTGCCTTTGTGGACGAACTAGTGATACAAGAAGCGATCAAAGATTTCTTGGAGAAAATACCGGTTCCTAAATGTAAAGCGAGATCGAGACCTAAAACACCAGTGACAGATAGGTCCGCGGAGTCTAAAAGCACACAAGATCTAGACCTTACTAGTGTGTCAAAAAGTCCTACATCTTTGGAGTTACCTCCGAAGAAGTTCTCGGGCTTTCGCGGGGAGAATGAGCCTCCACTGAAGCTTCTGCATTTTCCTTTCGCTGATAATCATCCAATACGGGAACTGGCGGAGTTTTACAAAGAATTCTTTAATGCGCCTCACTTGAAATTGGTGGATGAACTCCAGGATAAAGACAACGTGAAGGAAATTGACGTGGCTAATGACGACCTATCAAAAGACCTGGAATTGTACGAGAGCTCCCTTCTGGAATTCGATGAACTATTAGCAGACATGTGTAGATCGGCCGAATGGAGTGGAAATTAGTGGGAACAATGTTGGTGATGGGACAAAGACTGACATGTTATTGGTTTTTGATTAAATATGCTATCTTTGTTGAAACTTGGTATGAATTTCGACTTAACATTACGGGGTGTGATTTTTGAATTAGTGTAGTCATCTAGTAGGTACTGATTTAGTAGTATGTAACTTAGAAAATATTACTCTATATTGATCAAGGTACTGACATAAATGTGACAATCGTTTTATATTTTAGTTCGACGTACATTTCTGGTTATGTTTGAGCTTATTATATAACCAGTACAAGACGCCTAAAGTCTTAATGTTTTCTTATATTTACGCGAACACTACACATTTAAAAAAACTAATTTTACGGATTTTATCGCGTATATTAACTTATTTTATATTCCCGACGTTCCGAGCACTTTCCAGCACCCATTGTCATTGGGGGGACTGAGGTGTATGACGTCCCAATGTCATATTTAACCACGGCTACCTCCAGATTAAAAAGTGCTGGAAAGTGCTCGAAACGTTGGGAATATAAAATAAGTTAATATACGCGATGAAATCCGCAAAATTTGTTTTATTTAAACGCCTAAAGTCTTGGTAATGTTCTCGAATTATGATATATTACTATTGTCAAGTTTGTGCAACAGACCCTGATTTTTAGATTTATATAATAAATTATATTTATTGTGCAGTTTATTTCTAGTTGTCTATTTTTGTGTTTACCTTTAATTTATTTTTTCAGAAATAACATCCCCGTTTCTTAATAGGGTACTAGTTCCACTAGTTATTGGACGTGGGTCACTTTGAATCCACTATAACATTATACAGCTTAGATACAACCACATTTAATTATTACTATTCATCAGAGTACGAAACTAGTAGTTTGTTAAAGTAGGTGATACTTAATAATATTTAATCATCATCATCATCATCATCATTACAACCCTTCATAAGTCCACTACTGAACATAGGTCTCCCCCAAGGAATGCCAGAAAGCACGGTCCTGAGCCACCTGCATCCATCGACTTAGGCATGTCTTATATATCATACCAGGTCGTCACTCCATCTAGCGGGGGGACGCTCTACACTTCGTCCACCGGTACGAGGCTGCCACTCGAGAACCTTTTTCCCCATCGGTTGTCGGTTGTTCGAGCTATACGGCCGGCCCATTGCCACTTCAGTTTACTAATCCGTTGTACTATGTCGGTCACTCTGGTTCTACTGCGGATATCCTCATTTTTAAGTTTATCATGCAGAGAAACCCCGAGCATAGCCCTTTCCATATTTAATACAATATATTATATAGCAGTAATACTTCCATAATATTTTTAACTATCTATTGAAGAGACATTTGGAGATCCATAGATGTAATCTTTGAGCAAATATATGAAGTTCATAAATCACATACCCAAACCATATTAATTTATTTTGTGTAGAAAATGGTGAATTCGAAACTTTATAAGCACCTCACAAGTCTCAGAGTCAAAGTCTGCGGCTTTTACGACATGTCTAGTCAAGTCAAAGTCAAAGAGAAAACCTTTTTATTAAATTTAGGCATTTTGCAAATCAAGACCAGATAGCCACCTAGCCAGTTTGCAAAATAAGTTATAGCGTTATGCATGTAATCCCAGAGAAGTAGGCAGAGTCCAAAGATCAAGCTATTCGGACAACGTTTAGCCAAAAATATGGGTTTAGATGGAAAATTGTGAAAGAAGTGGTAGGTCGGTCGGTAGCCAATCAAAAACCCAATTTTCGCATTAACTTTTTCAGTGCAAAACAAATTTGATTCCTGCCGGTACAGATGAATTTTTAAGTGTTGTTTACCATAAGCTCAACGATGCTGAAAAATATTATTAGGAAACCTGCATCTATTAAATTAACAAAATGTTTTGGAATACTCTAATTAGGAATACTTTTGTTAATTACATTTTTCATTATATAATAATTCGTTGGTTACTTTAAAAGTGTTGCCACAGAATCATGGCCATTTGAGGTGTCCAATGACTAGAAGTTTACCCTATTTCCCTTTACATTCCTATTTATAAGAAGTCATGTTTTGTGTACATGAGTAAAATTAGTTTTTTTTATTTTTTGCAGTGTAACAAATTTATGTATATATAATTATTGATTTTAGCTCATTTTATATTTATACTGGCTTTATACACACCATGCACAGTTTGCCTCTTATAACGATTTCAATATTTTTAATAAATAACTCAAAATTCTTATTCAGTATGTTAAAAAAACATTCTGTCCCATCCAAAAGGGGCACTTTGGTAGCAATGATATTGCCAAAAAAGACTATATTAATAATTAATATAAAAATTACATTTTTATTTAAAATAAATACTTTTACTATAATTTGCATAAATTTAAGCATTTTTCTAAAGTCTGGCAACACTGTTGTCGGCGACGGTATCTTTGAATTTGAACCTGTAACTTGTAAGCGGTACCTATTGTTACCCGACAGCCGCTCGCACCACATGTATTGACATTTAAGTTGTTTTAACATTTAAGTTAAATGTTCTGTATTTTTTGTTTATTCTTTGAAAAGGATTACATGATCAGAAACATATCATAATTACTGCAAGCGTTCTCACGGATCGGAAAGGGCTTTTTTACATATTGTATATCACAAAAAAGAATGGAGTATATACTTATAAGATGTACTTATAAAACAAGATATTCTAACATGTATAGAAGACATGCAAATATTTTTGCGGGAATTGAAAAGGAGATTAAATGACAAAATTATATCTAAGAAAGACTTATTTATGCGTCAAATTGTATAATTGTAAGTGAAACAGTCCCCCTAATAAATCTAGTAGTAGTAGTAGGACCGGATTTACCTTAAACGAAAGGAGGCAACTGCCTGTGGGGCCCGTGACCAGATATAATGATTTATTAGATGATTTAGGTCCGATTTCAATCCTCAGATAAAAGTTACTCGAAAAAATTACAGTAGTATGAATAAAACATTGTTTCAGTTTTTTATTCAGTGAATTTATAATTTTTTTCATAGATAACTTTTATTAGAAACTTGGAAAGGGATCCAAGACATAGTTGCCGATAGACCCTCTATATGGTTAAATCTGACCCTATATTCGATCCGACGAAATCTAATTATAATATTATTACATATTAGCACTATCCGTATGCTTTTTATTTCAATGAAAATATTAAAATAGAAAATGCTCATTAAGTAACTATTGGTGTATAAACCTAGATGAGGGGAGGATGGACTATGTCCACCCCAGAACGTTACATGTGTTGGTTAATTTTATTGTATGCATTGGGATTTGGCTTTATCGGCCATCCATTATGTGTTCATTTAAATGTTCTGCAAATTACAATGAACTATTACAGAATATGAGATGATTTTATTTCATTTGTACTGTTTTAAAAATATGTATTATTTATACCTATTGATATATATTTTTTTCTGTGTAAAATGTACAAATTAAGTATTGTTTATATTTACAAAATAGGTTTTAATAATCGATGACGGTGTTAATTTAATGTTCCATAATATTGTTAAAAGAATATTTTTATTTTAGCGATACCAAAATAAAGTATTCGTAACAAGTCTTTTCATTTTCTTCATAACTGCCATCTCCCTTAACACGGCTATTGCAGCTGTGCTTTACCTTTTCGTCAGTATAGTCTGTTCGCTACGATAGTGTCGGTACACCCGGGGGCGCAATTATTATTTTGCTTTTATTTTATTATTTTTTACGGTTACCTGTTGATAAATAAATGTTTTTCTATTCTAAGAATAAGATATAATACTATTTTGTTCTCATAGTTATTGTAATAAAATACGAATATTAATAATAAACAAATTAGGAAGCAAAGAATCTTTCACTACTGCGCTTCGTTTTAAAATACCAAATTCTGCGGGTGTACGCCACACGCGGCGACCTTTGATGTCGCGTCGGCGCCCTTAACAAGGTGCGGTACGTGCCAAGACGAGGCGGTACAAAGGCGACCGTATCTATGCGAATAGACTATACGATTGTTGTATTAGTATTATTAAATGCTATTGGGTCGCCGTGTAATGGCGACGAAAGATAATCCACTACCTCATACATACCCCTGTTATAAACTAAAAGAATAAAAAATAGCGATTGCCAGCTCACCTGCCATGCGAGGCAAATATGTCAAATATATCTGTTCGCGCCAAGCGCTAGTTTCAAGGATTGACGCGAGAGGGCGCTCGGCGCGGTGCATTCATACCGCTTTGACTTTCGGTCGAGCGAAAAACGCACAAGGGCAGGCAGTCGTCTTTAGGCAGTGCTAACGATTGGCACGCTGTCATTTTGTTAGGGAACTCGGAATAATTAGGTGCGGCCCGTAAATATACGGTCTAGGATTTTGTGACGCGCATTCCTGCTGGAGAGCTTCCCGGGACTTATTGGGTCCGACTCAGAATCTGTATAAGTGCATTCGACAATATTACCTAGTGCGGCCTCTGATATTCTAGAACTAACTGTTGCAACGCGAAACGGTAGCGACCTTTGATCCAGAAACTCCGTGTGCGTTTTGTGCGGTAACCTTATACCCCGCGATAGTTAGTGGCTTCTGTAAGTTAGTTAATCGCACGATAGAGTTAATTGACTGTCATCGTGACGAACGAGGAAAGTGAATGTGGGCAACGCCTCGGAGCTGTCGCCTTGGATATAGGTAAGTAAGCTACGTCCAAATTCCTTCCGGTCGACTGGCCGTAGTATAACGCTCCCCCATATATTTTAGTGTAATTAGAGAGATTCCACGTGGCCACATTGAGGCCCGACCTACGTCTGCTCGGGAAGTCTTCAGCTCATGGGCCCCTGAGGATTTGACCCTTTAAGGGAGCAGCCGTAGGCCGTAACAAACTGGTAGCAGAGCGTGGTTCCGGGTTCGATTCCCCGGTCGATCCCGACCATAGTGTTTGATAAACATTAAACAATTCTGGTGGCAGGGAGCGTTGGTTTGATTGGTTTAATTTGAATCTACAATCACGTCCGTCCGTAATACGT